TTACTCATAAAGCGTGTTTGAGAGAGCATTTGTACCTGGACATTTATTGTGTACTCTGCACCATTTCTTTTCAGTCATCTCACTGGTGTTGTTTGCAGGACCACGATAGAACCGCGTTACTACACTTTTACTACAGCTGCACTGAGGTAGCCCGGATTTCCCTCTGGAGAAAATGTAACATAGACTTGCTTCCTTAGAGTCCTGTGCTGAGCTAGGTGATTTGCTCAGTGCTGAGAATATGGCTCTTATTGGTAGTGATATTGTATCCCTTGGTTGTCTGACACTACTCACTATCATCAGTGGTCACCTGTTTGCTTCATGGGGTTTGCTGCATGTGGTTTTGCACTGGGAGGTTTCTGTATGGGGACACTGCATGGGGGATGCAATGTGGGAAAGCTTGTATTTCAGTCCTTAGTTCTCCTCTATTACTTGAGGCAGTTACAGACTACATCATCTTTAGCTTTACTGAGTTTCTGCTAGCTATTAAGTGATGTATTTTTTGTTTTGGACTACTGTTAGTATATTTTAGTTTGCCTCATATTCACTGGATTTTCCAGGAAGATAAGAGTTTCTATTTCAGGACTTAGATTGGCTCAGTGTGGCTCCATTCCTGGTTTTCAGACAGCTCAGTTCCACTCTGTTTTGGCACTGCCACTGCTGGATCTGCAGGCTTTCATCTGTCCTTTGGGTGACAGCAGTTGCTGCTGTTGGTGCATGGTTTGCTTTCCTGAAAGAGCCTGTGGCTGTGCCAGCTGTGTGTCTGGCTCTTTCTGGAGGAGAGCGGAGGACTGTGATTTCATTCTCAACAGCTTTGTGTGGCTGTGGGTTGAATTTCAGATGTGAATGCTCAAGAGAAGAACACGGGCGCAACAAGCTGCTTGGATGAAAAAAACTGGAAGTTGGGTCACTCACGAGTCAGATAACAGCCTTGAAGCAAGCAGTTCCTTAAGGGAGCTTGTGGGGGAGCTTGTGGTGCTCTTGGTTTGAGCCTTTTTGTGCACATGCTGTCCAGCAGGAGGGTTTGATGAGATTTTGCTTTCGTGGTCTGGGAAGTGCAGACCTATTATTTTCTGTAATGCAACGTTTCCAAATTGACTGGCCGGACACAAAGCCTGCATTCAAAGATATGTAATTGAAAACAGAGTTCCCAGGGCAACTTTCTACTTCTTTCGTTGTTCTTGAATGATAAAAGAGGGAAGTTCACGAAAATCTGTTTTTTACACATCTTATTTTTTTGTGCTTCGGCAAAGATGGTGTGAGTTTTTATTTGCTTTTTTTTTTTTTTTTTTTTTTTAAACATTTTGTAGAGGGTTCTTTGTTTGAAGGAACTTATTGCTGATAAAATCTGTTGGAGTTCAATAGACTCAATATGTCTGTGGAAAGGGGGTGGTTCAGCCAGTGTACTGTACTTCCTTTTTCTAAAAGGCTTTGACATGGTTGTATGCGAAGGTTGTTCAAGAAGCTATGATGGAAGTCTGACAAGGGCTTTCTTTTCTAATCCACGTCTAAAGAACCAGAAGAAAAGAGATAGTAAACAGATGCCTTGTTAACAGTACAATTTGTGAAATCATCAGATGATTGTTGAGTCCTGTAGCACAAAAGGTGACTAGAGCTGTTCCCCAGCAGTCTGCACAGGAGCCTCAGATACACAGCGAGGAACACTGACCTGGGGAGGGGATGGCATTGAGTTAAGGGAGCAGAACTGACTCAAGAGCTGCAGAAGGGCATGGTGGTAGATGTGGCTGGTAGGTGACACTTTGTGTTGGGAAATGCTGGGTCATGAGTACAGAGGTGAGGGGCATGGTGTTGTGCTGGTTACTGTTGCTCAGGATAGAGCCTCTGCACTCACTGTGGATACCTGGCTCTGTGGAAATGTGAAGACTTCTGTTTGCCTCATGAAAGAAATGGAAGTCAAGATTTAAAATGGTATTATACTAATACAGAAATGTAAGATGTAAGTTAAGCACTGGAATAGGCTCCCTGGGGAGGTGGTTGAGTCACCATCCCTGGATGCGTTTAAAAACCACTTGGATGTGGTGCTCAGGGACATGGTTTAGCAGAGAGTTGTTAGGGTTGTTTGGTTGGGTCGTGGTTGGACTCGATGATCTTTTCCAACCTGAGCATTTCTATGGTTCTGTGATTATAGCAGGATGGTAAAATGGCATGGAAAAAGTAGAGAGTGATCTGCTAGCTGTATCAAAACACAAACTATGTTGCAAAATTGGAAGTTAAAATAAACAAAATGCTGTGTATTTCTTGGCAGTGCCTGGTTAAATTATGTAACGAACTTACTGCTGTAATCTCTTACAAAGGGTATATCACAAGTGGTTGGAAAAGGGATCTGTCACTGTCTTTTAACCACAATCGTGGTGATATAACCTGCAGCTCATAGAATGTCCTGGGCCCTTGCTCGTTGCCTTGTCCAGCAATGGTTCCCTTGCTGTTAGGTGTTGGCAGTAGCTTGCTAAAGATGAGATGGTGAAATCCCTGCTGTGTTTTCACAACGTCTGACTTCCTTCTCGTCATGCTTCCAGGTATCAAAATGTAAATATATTTTTTTCAGCTTGTTAAAAATATTGTAAGAACTACTGTCTATGTCAGCCAAGTCCTTGGATTTCAACTTCAAGTACTTCACAGGCATTCTTCCTGTGATTTGGCAGCTTTCTGTTTGTCTGACAAGACAGTTCTGCTTCTAAATAAAAGCATCTCTTTAAACCACAGTAGCCAAAGACAACATGCTGTAGTAGAACTCTGGCAATCAACTTTTCACTTGCCTCTATCTGCCTCTCGTGTACAGCAGTCACTGATTGCATTGTGATTGCTGTGATGGCTGTGCAAAGGAAAAGTAATTCATGTAGATGTAACTCCTGACTGTACTTTTCATCTGAAGCAGTGTAGCGTTTAGGGTGTGATCCAACTCAGGGTTACTTTTTTCACAACCCCCATTCCTGTGTTTGTTACCAAGATATCCCTCTTGAACAGAGACATCTATTATTATTTATTATTTATCAGTGTCTTTTCTCTCTAAACTGCAGGCTTGCATTGCATTGCAGTTGCTTGATGCATGTCTGTATATCTTTATTGGGATACTTAAAGTTGACAAAATAAGGATGTGAATCTGGACTCAGAGGTCCCGACCCTCCTTTTCCAGTCCCTTGTTGATCATAAAATCATAGAATCACAAGGTTGGAAACGACCTGCAAGATCATCTTAGCCCAACCACCCTCCAATACCACTGCTACCACAAGCACTAAACCACATCTCATAGCTCCTCATCCAGATGCCTCTTGAACACTGCCAGGGATGGTGACTCCACCACCTTCCTGGGCAGCTGTTCCAGTGCCTGACCACTTTCTGAGAGAAAGGATATGTCTAATCTAAACCTCATTTGGTACAACTTGTGATCGTTTCCTCAGGTCCTGTTTGTAGCCTGGGAGAAGAGGCCAAACCCCTCTTCATCACAACCTCCCTTCAGGAAGGGATGATGAATTCTGAGATACATGGCTGTTAATGGCAATGATCTAAAGAAACTTCTCAGTGGTTGTATTTTTAGCAGAAGCTCTCCATGCTTAGAAAACTTTGAGTTTTGTCCTGATTCAGAAGCACGTTTCAAAATGTGTTAAGTGTTCTTACAGCTTTTCTTATGCATGAACTGGACTGTTAATATGTGATGCAGAGATTCCCTTTTTCTGAAATAGAAAAGACATTTTATCAAAAAGTTACCAAATAAGCTGTCAAAGAGCTCAGCCTGACATATCTTGCAGATTTGTTTTACCCACAGCCATCAGTTAATATCCCCTGCTCTGAGTGCTGTTTAAATTACACAGGAGGCATTATTTTTGGAGCAACATGCAACAGAACGTTGGTGGGACGGTTGAGGCTCTACTGCCAAAGCACCAACACCTGCTTCTGTAGTGGGCTGACACAATGATATAGGAGGTGTTGCTTTCAGTGCATCCCTTGCTCTTTGGTTTACTGTAATGAGGCGAATCGGGAGTGTTCACCTGGTGTCAAAAGCAGAGCAAACTGTGTAGCAGAGCAAGATGGCAGTGGGTATGGCCTCCTAATGAGCACAGAAGTGCTTCTGCTGCAGATGCATCCTTGCTTCCTTGGGTGTGCTGGCCTTACAACGAAGCTGTGCTTGGAAAAGTGACCAACTGAAAAATAACTACTGCTTTATCTGAAGTTTATATGCATTGTACTATTTTGTTTAAAGTCATTTACCCTAGCACAAATGTTGGGAAAATGCAAAGAAAGGTTTTGTTTTGGGATTGCAAATTCCTTAAAGCGTATCTAAGTAATGGACTGAATGAACAGGGGATGGCAAAGTTGTGTTGCAATATATTTCATTTTGTGAGCTCTACTTGTAGCAGTTGTCAGTAATTCACTGACCAGCATTCAGTAACACAGGTAGAAAAGCTCTCTGTCATGTTGAGATTTTGAAATGCATTTTAAAAAATGGGCAACAGTGATATTTGGATTGTGTTAATAGAGAAGCACACCGAACAACACACTTCTAACTGTAAATACAATTCCAACAGGATCCATAAGGACAGGTGTACCTTCAATATCTCAGACCAGTTATTTTGTAGTTAATTAAGGGATATAGGAACCTGGGCTTTGGTTTCAGTTTTCTAATGGTAATAAGAAAAATCAGGTTTCAGTAGTTGCAGGTGAGCGAAGATTCCAGAGTAGGGGCTGCACTGGAAGAGCTATTGCAGCCCAGAAGTTTGGTTCCTCAGCACTCTAAGCCACCAGGTTTGACTCTTCCACAACTGCTGAATGGTACTCTCTAGGTTTTCAAATATTCAGAGGAACAAGCATGAATCCTAGTAGTGACCTGGTTTAGGGAACCTGCTTTGGCAGGGGGGTTGGTCTCGATCTCTTAGAGGTCCCTTCCAACCCCTACAATTTTGTGATTCTGTGATAGTGAAAAGTCGTATTATTGACTTGAATTGTGTCTTTGAAATGACTAACCAAAGCCTTTTTCTTTCCCAAAGCCTTTTCTTACTCTCATGAATCTTCACTGTTCACCAGACGTCCATACATTTCTGTGCAAGGCCTTTGTTCCTGCCTGCCTGGAGCAAGTTCATGTGATTCACCCTTGTCGTAACCTCTGTGAGAAAGTGTATTCCGACTGCAAACAACTGATTGACACTTTTGGAATCACATGGCCTGAAGAGCTGGAATGTAGCAGGTGTGGTATTTGTTCACGTGATAAGCGATGGAGGTGATCATTTTCAGATGTTGTATAGTTGACCCAGACTGAGTTGAAGCATTAAATAGTAGAAGCCGTACCGAAGCCGATTTAAGTTTTAAGAAACTTAAATCATGTTTCTGGCCCCCCTGCAGTTACTAATCCATGCTGGTGCTGAGGCAGAGCTGGGATAGTAGTACTCTGCCGTGATTCTTGATAGATGGCGGTTCAGGAAAGAATGTGATAGAAGGCATTGACTTGATTTCCCTTTTTTCTGAGGGGGAAAAAATGATAGCTATGGGATTTAAGTCCAAGAATGCATCAACCTTTTCTCATCTGGTGTGAGCTTTTTTTTAGATGATAATGCCATTAAGTTTAGAAAATGCTTTCCAGAATTTTGTTTGAAAATTGAGGAAAATTTCAAATTTCAATTTTTTTTTTTTTTTTTTTTTTTTTTTTTTTTTCCCTCAGCAGTCATTACAGCTGTAAATCATTATATTACTGCTACTGTTCACTGAAATGTTCTTACTTTGTTCATGTGGGAAGTGCTGTCTGCCCAACAGGCAGGGAGGTCCATGTGATAGTGTGCCATGTTCTGAAAACAAGAGATGCTGCTATTGGGGCCTGTGGAAGAGCAGCTGGCATGAGGATGGGCCTCAGATTCAACTGCGGTTCTGAGATTCACACTCCAATATTCTTACAGACGCAAATAATACTCCCTAATACATGTGTGAATGAAGTTTTTGCTGTTCTGATGCATAGTGGTCTGACCCACATTTATTGAAACAACCTGCTACAGAATCAGTTTTCTCAATTATTATCCTGGCTTTGTTTGGACAGCGTGATAATGCAGAGGAAAAAGTAAGAACAAGTTTCTTAGCTCAAGCTGAGCTTCCAAATTAATGATGAGGAAAAATATTTTTACATTTAAGGTCTGCATACAATAGCACTAGACAAAGAACATCTTGAGGCAACAGAATCTCACTTTATCAGCTGAAATGCAAAAAATGTTATTTGTAAGTACATAAATTTGGAATGCGAATGAACATCAATCCCTCTTTGAGTAAATGCTTACCTGAGTTATAATTAAATAATCTTGTTTGAGGATCTGGCCAACACCACTAATCCTGTATTAATGTAATTTTTAAAGAGTTTGTATTTTTCTAGGTAAGCCTGTAAGCAGGTGAGTCGTGAGCCATCTCTAAAAGAACATTATGGTTCTAGAAGACAATTGCTGAAACAGAGCTTTTTGCAGTACTTATGTTTTTTGCTTTTTGTCTTTCTCAGGTAGTTCTGTTGTTATAGACAGTAAAGTGTCGTCGTAACACAAAATCATCACCATCATATGGCAGTCATCAGTTAGTTCAAGTAACTATGAGCCTTCATTCTTTGCTCCTTGATTTGAAGCTTGTGTTTTGACAGATCATTACTATGTCTCTCCAACAGTCAATTATTATCAAGATAAAATCTATACTATAAATATTCTCAGTACACAGGTGTAAAATTTTGGATTAAGACTATAGAGCAATTGCAGTTTGAGTAAACTGTGTTGTAAGCAGTAAAACAGAGCAACATTAAGCAGTTGTGTTTGAACCTTCTAAACTGACAATATATTTGATCTGATTTTTAAAATGCCAGTGGATATTCATATAATGCACATTTTGCATTATGTGTAAAACTGTGTTTGGAATCAGATTTTACTATTAGTAAGAAATAACTGTAGTTGATAATGAGAGATATTAATATTTTTGTTACTGTTTTTTTTCTAGACTAGTCAACTGTGATGAGTCTGCTCCTGCCACTGCTCCTGTAACCACCAATGCACATGGAACTCAGAAGACCCCAGGGCAAACACGAAGGGATTTTGGATTCTGGTGTCCACGGCACCTACACACTTCCAATGGACAAGGCTACAAATTTCTGGGCATCGATCAGTGTGCACCACCATGTCCCAATATGTACTTCAAAAATTATGAATTGGATGTTGCAAAAAGCTTCATTGGGATAGTTTCAATCTTTTGTCTTTGTGCTACGCTTTTCACATTCCTTACTTTTCTGATTGATGTTAAAAGGTTTAGGTACCCAGAGAGGCCGATCATCTATTACTCCGTCTGTTACAGCATAGTGTCTCTAATGTACTTTATTGGATTTCTTCTTGGGAATAGAACTGCCTGTAACAAGGCAGATGATAAGCTAGAAATTGGGGAAACGGTTGTTCTTGGCTCCCAAAACAAAGCCTGCACGGTCCTTTTCATGGTTTTGTACTTTTTCACTATGGCAGGAACAATATGGTGGGTGATTCTGACAATCACTTGGTTCCTTGCAGCAGGAAGAAAATGGAGTTGTGAAGCTATTGCACAGAAGGCCATGTGGTTCCATGCAGTTGCGTGGGGGATACCTGGTTTTCTAACCATTATGCTTCTTGCAATGAACAAAGTGGAAGGGGACAATATCAGTGGAGTTTGCTTTGTAGGTCTCTATGATGTGGATGCCTCTCTGTACTTTGTGCTTTTGCCGTTATGCCTTTGTGTTTTCTTTGGTCTCTCTCTTCTGTTAGCTGGTATTATCTCTTTAAATCACGTGCGCCAAGTCATACAGCATGATGGCAGAAACCAAGAGAAGCTAAAGAAATTCATGATCAGAATCGGAGTTTTTAGTGGTTTATACTTGGTGCCACTTGTGGCACTGCTTGGATGTTATGTCTATGAACTGGTGAACCGGAAGATCTGGGAAACAACTTGGGTGTTTGACCACTGTGACCAGTACCATATTCCTTGTCCATACCAGGCAAGTGGCAGTTTGCTTTGTAAATAATATTGTGGAGTTAATTAGCAAAAACCCTTATGTGTTGCTGTGTCCTGCAGTGTAGCCTAGCAAATATTTTTTTGTGTTAAGTAGTCAGCTCAAGAAGATACAGCGGTAAGTTGCTTTTTGAGTCACAGTTGATGGTATCTCACTTCTGCTTTGAAGCTTTTGACTGAGCAAATTGATTGCATTCAGCATGTAAGTTCCAACTCAGCAGAGGAAATGCTTCCACTCCATTTCACAAATAATGCTGGGGGATTGTTTTTCGCCATATCTGTTCTTAAGAGCAGTTACTCAGTGTTTGGATGTCTGGCTCAGTGTTTCAGTACCTAAGGTGAATTTTCATCATTTTCTATTGAGGTGGAAAAAATGGGTCTTGAAAGTTGAGTCTAGATTGAATTTTGAATGTTCCTTGCTACCATAGATTTAAAATAATTTCATCTTTTTTTCTTTTAAGTGCAGAACTGTGAAACACTTGAAATGACACCTTTCCAATGTAGTTTTTTCATGATAGCTGTCAGCTGTAGGCTGATATTCAGTAATGTAGAAGAAACTTTTAAAAACAAAAATATGCTTTAAATTGCAGAGATGTTCAGAAATGACTCCTAAAAAGAAATTGACTTATTGGAGAAGCTTTTAAAGTCAAGGTATCCTATATTCGGTATTCTCAGTGGATTAAATCTTTTGTAAAGATACAGAACTCTCTGCAACTGGAAGTAATTTGTGGTTTGTTTGTCTTTCTATATAAGAACAAATAGAAAGTAGAAACCATTCCTAGGAAAATGCAAGTTTCACGCATTATCTTCCATTGCTTTGCATATAACATCTATGCTTTTACTGCAGTAAGCTGTCATCAGAGAATATAAGCACAAGCATTATGGCATGGATAAGGTGTGATCCTTCCATGTTCTCAAACATCCTTCTGTGCCCTCTGCAACGTTTTTAACAAGTGCATTTCAGCAAGTCTTAGATCGAGCTCAGTATCAGCTTAGCTAGTCTAGAATAAACAAGGTTGAAAATGAAGCTTGTATTCATTTTGCCAAAAACAGCCAACAAAAACAAAACAAAACAAAACCCAAAACACATAATGTTTTGTAGTGCTTAATTATAACATCTTAGCATAATAAGGCATAAAGAACATGCATTCTTAGTCTGGAATTAACCTACTGGAAAGAGTTAATAGCAAGAGGGAGTGTTCTACAATAACAGATCCCAATAAGATGTAATTATTGGGATCTGTCTGTATAGTAAACAGCATGTGCTAACTGTAGAGTAACTTAGAGAGGCGTGCTTGGCTGTGACTTCTCTAAGCTAGCTTTTGCAGACTTCTTCACACTGATCAGAGCAGAACCAAGTAAAAATAAATGTTAGTACAGGTTAGTTGATGTTACATGGCTGACTCAAACGCTAACTTTTGTTTGGCATGGTAACCAGGTAATGTAAATTCAATTAGCAGTTTAGGAGGAAAAGATTGTTACAGAGCTCCTATGATCCAGTTTTGCAGATGGTTGCTTAAATCTGGCAATAACCAGAAAACAGCTGTGTGACTCCCCATGGCTCCAACGATGCTGTCTTGTGATCACCCAGATCATCCACTCATCCTTCATGCTGAAAGGGTGAATCTGACTCGTGCAAGCCATCTCAGAAGAACGTGGTTACAAATACTATTACCCTTTCAATTTAAAAGAAAAATATTTCCCTCTAATCTCCTCTGCACTCAACGGAGAGTGTGAGCAGACGTGACCAGGTCTTGTCTGTACATGTCTTGTGTGTGTCTGCAGTATGTGCCTCAACAAAGCAGAGCAGCCGTGAGGACAATTATGTTAGATCTCTCCAACATAATTTGTTTTTCTGCATTTAAAAAATGAATCAACAAGTATGTTGTTGACTTTGTACTGATTAAACTTTATCTTCCAGGCAAAGGCGCTCGCAAGACCAGAAATATTTCTGTTTCTGATGAAATATTTGCTGACATTAATTGTTGGCATATCTCCAGTGTTCTGGGTGGGAAGTAAAAAGACCTGTTCGGAGTGGGCCAATTTCTTCAACAGAAACCGCAAAAGAGAGTAAGAGCAATTTTAATTCCTGGTTTTTGAAACGTGTACTTCAAAATATGTAGGATTTCAGACATGGTTCTTAAGTGTAGCTCAGGAGTCCAAGTGTTGTCCTCGAACCCTTTCTTTTTTTGGAGTCTGCATATGGGCATCAGCAAAAACTTCTGCTGAAGTCTGTGGAGACTTTATGGACACAATGACTCTTTGACTGCATTCTGAGAAGACAAAATATTTTCCTCTGTTCTGTTCTCTGCATACAGATGTGTGACCGTGGTAATGCATTGGGTAATACATCTCTGCTTTCCAGTCCAGTCAGGAAAGATAACTTTGGTCGTTCAGATCCTTTCTTGTATTTCAGGTCCTTCATTTGGCACAGTACATAACTGCTGTGTTTACTATCATGTAATAGCAACATCCTCTGCTTTTCTTGTCAGCACAGCTTGCTTGTTTGAAAATAAATTTTCATTGTGCCATCCTTAGTTAGGCTTTGTATTAAAGTACTGTCCCTTATTTGTATTCTGAGACAGAACAATTCAGTTTTATTATATAATTTTAGTAATTATTTATCTGTGATTTTAAAGAGGTTACAGATATCATCTCCATTTCTTGCAGCTGTCATTTTGCCTTTTTATTCCTTATGTAGTTTGGTGTTTTTTTTTTTTTTTTTTTTTTTTTTAAGATCATCTGTATTGCTCATAGGTTATAATGTATTTTAAGGTCTTTTTGTTTCTTTGAATTTCCCAAGCCAGCAGTCCTTAAGCTCCTTTTATTTTGCATCTGCATTCCATGATGGTGAGCTTATAGCTTTCTTTCCCTCTCCTCACTTTCCATTTCCTGTATAATTTTTCCTGCATTTCAGATGTTAACTGCTTTCAGCTACAAGAGCTTTAAAGTAATGAAGTCAGTTTTATAATACCAACCATTTTTTCCCTTGAACAAAGTTTACGTTGCATAGGGTTAATTTGGTAATACAGCTGCTTATGAGCTAATCCTGCTTTCCTCTCTTAGATGACTGACTTACCGAAGGCATTGGACCTACTTGCAGAAGTAAGAAATGTGGAAATCGGCTTTATTTAATTGTTCCACAGACATAATTACTTTGGAACCATGACAGATTCTTCTCCTCTTTTCTCATGCACTTGTTTTCCTCGTGTTCATTAACATCCAGCTCAGATTACATCATTGGTTGCTGTTCTTTTACATTTTGGTGTACCAAGTTATATTTCAGGTTATCAAGTTACAGATCAGGTTAATTCACTTCTCTGTGTGTTTTCTTTCAGTCCAATCAGTGAGAGTCGAAGAGTACTACAAGAATCATGTGAATTTTTCTTGAGGCACAATTCCAAAGTTAAGCATAAGAAGAAGCACTACAAATCAAGTTCACACAGATTGAAAGTGATTTCTAAGTCAATGGGAACTAGCACAGGAGGCACAACGAATCATGGGACTTCTGCAGTAGCAATCACCAATCACGATTACCTGAGCCAAGAAACTGTTGCAGAAATTAAAACTTCTCCAGAGACATCTGAGAAAGAGATGGAGGCAGATGGAACATCAGCCCAAAAAGCTGAGGAAGGTGAAAACAGTGGAAATCAAATGTTAAGTATTTCTAAACTGACCGTGGATCAGGTGGAAAAAAGAAACAAAGCAGACAGCATGTGTGATATGAGTAGCTTGTCTGAGAGCCTGAAGAGAATTGGTGAAGGCAGGTGAGAGTCCTTTGCTTTTTTTTATGTCTATTACCATTATTTCTACTTCTCTATGAAGAATCAGTGTGCACTTAACCCTGAGTAGCTGTTCAGTAATTCCTGCGAACTTTGACTATGTGTCTTTAGCATATGGGCTATTTTACTGGGGGTTTTGGATTCTTTTTCCTTTTCAGTGTCCAATGCTGAAGCTTCAGCTTGTAGGATAGTTTTGAGCTGTTGATCCTCAAGAAATCTGGTTGCAATACAGTCATTTTTAGAGAAGTGTGAAGAAAGGGGGAGTGGGAGAATCTTGAAGTAGTCTACGGAACCCCCATTGTGTTCTCTGTACAGGAAAACAGCTTTAGATATTAGCAGTTTATTACTAAAAGCTGCACTGTGCTTAAAATGGATGGTTTTATTTCTCATTACTGACAGGGTAACTCCCAGGAATGATTTTATTGAGTCTCCTCCGTTACAGAGCAGCAGTTCCCAAATAGCAGACGTCTCCCAGTCGGGCTCCATAGCACTGCTTGTCTACTCGGCCGCAGATGGCAGGAAGGAGCTGGATTCAGCAAACAGTTCAAACCATTGAAAGACTGACATTTTTATATGAACTCTTTCTGTGTATAAAACTGATGTGGATTTTGTTACACTGAAAAGAGCAGACGTTCTGTGCCTTACTGAAAATCAGACACATCTTGTTTTGCACTTATAAAGATGTAAGTTTTGTACTGGGGACAACTGGCAATAATTGTACTGTATTTATACCCATCCAGGAATAATGGAAATTGAAGTTCTATGGGACACAGCTGGATTGCTTAGTAGTAATTTAAGGAGATGAGAGAAATATTATTCCCAATGCAAAGAACACTATTAAGTAAATTGCATTGAAATAATGCAGAAAAAGCACTGTTACTTTTCAAGGTGTAAGATGTCAATCTGCAGCTTTGATATCTTACAAGTTTTTTACTTTTTCCTTTTTTACTACCTGTTAAACAGCATTATCACTTTAAGAGATGCAAAAAGTTACTCTCTAAACTGTGTCACGATGTGTTGTTTATAGCACTGCTTTATGGTAGTTTTTACACTGAATCTGAAATCAGAATGGTTTATTTTGTACATAGAAATGAATTTTGTAAATAACTGACTGCATAAGGCCTATATTTAGAGCTGCTGTTTTGTATGTACTGTACAAATGTGGTCAAGTTCCCGTGCTTCTGTCAGATGCTACTGAAGTCAGCAGTTCTGTGGTGACTGGGCAATGTTATTCAGTTGTGAGCAAAACGGGTGCAAAACTCCACCATACCCTGCATGTTTGGGCAAGGCTGGGCAGACAGCACTGCGTCCCTCTGGAGGGACAGGGCCCGAGGTGCAGTGCTGCTTCAGCATCTCCTGCTGTGCTGTCCTGGGGCATCGTGCCAAACGGGAGTGCTTCAGATCCTGGGCAGCACAGGGGCAGAATCTGAACTACTCGTTTGTTGGGTGTTGGTTGGTGTTGTTTTTCACAGAGCTGCAGTGACAGTATACTTCCTTTCTGTTTCTATGCAAGCCGCTTGATATCTATATATGTTAATTCTGTAGGGAGGTACCCTGCAGAAAATAAAGTTATGTTAATATGCAGGTTTGTTTAACAATACATTTATTTAAAATAAGACCTTAATGCTGTTTCTACAGAGTCTTAATTTTCTACACACTGCAACAGTATAATTTCTGTAACTCAGAAAGGCCTTAGAACCTCTAATGCTTCTCTTAGGGTAGAGCGGCACAAGAGCAAGTCCTGCTGATGTGGGTGAGTTGGGTTCTTCAGTTCTTAAGAATCCTGGCTCCGGTGAACCAGAAACTGAGTGCATTTTGTGAGAATGTTCAGCATCTTCTTTTTGATTGCCAACAGGAAAATTGCTTTTAGTTGATGTTCTGGTTTTGCTGCTGTGCCGAGCAGTGGTGTTGCAGTTTGTGCGGCGCTCGAGGTGATGCTTTGGACTGTGGAGCAAAATAGCATGGCACAAAAGTCATACAAACACTGAATGATAAACCAAAGTTACTTGTTTTATTGACGATGCATTACAAATAGAATGTATTTACTTTTATCTGTCGTGTGCATTTTAGCATTTGTAATTTATTGCCTAAAACAAGATGTGCTATTTCTTTTGTAATTTTCCTGCTAACAATATCTAATATTCTTACTGCTGAGGACAGTGGGAAGAGCCTGAACAGTCTGTGGAAATGCACACCAAGTACTCTTCTTTCCGTTCTGTTTGTAAATGGGTAACTTCATACATGTGTTCAGTGCTTTGGTTATTACTGTCTTTGTTAGTAATAAACTGTTGTATAGTAAAAACTTGAGTTGATATTTCTATTATCTGGACTCGGCATGTTTGTTTTTGTGTTACTGGGGCATTTCTGCACCTAAGACACTTCGATGTATTCTGACTTAGGGCTACGTGAGGTAGTAAGTATTGCAATGCTTTTATTCCTCCTGAAGAATGGAAACAGAACAGTGGTGGGAATGGTTTAGGTGAACACAGAGTTATGAAAGAGTGAGAAACTGATCTGGAGCCTCCACCTGGGCAGTTATGGTACTCTTTTTTTCCGTGACCTGCTTAAGGCCTCCTTCACCCTACGTAGAATATTTATTTCCGTAATGAGCTATTGCTGTAACCTGCTTAAAATAATTTGTGCAGACATTTTTAATGTGTATACTATTTCCTGGTTTTGGATGAGCTCTTTACTATGAGAGTGGTGAGGTACTGGAACAGGCTGCCCAGAGAGGTTGTGGATGCCCCGTCCCTGGAGGTGTTCAAGGCCAGGTTGATGGGGCCCTGGTCAGCCTGGTCTAGCATTAAATGGGGAGGTTGGTGGCCTTGCATGTAGTAGAGGGGGTAGGGGGGCAGGGGAGATTCATGATCCTTGAGGTCCCTTCCAACCCTGGCCATTATGTGATACTGGGGAAAAAGTTGCACTCTTGGTAACTGCTTTGAGAAGATGAGTGGGCAGTAAATTTGATGTTATAGCAAAGCATTGGGCTTAGAAATACCTGCACTTTCCAAGTGCTAACTAAAGAGTAGCAGTTATCTTTGTTTTCAGTGAAGTAACTGCAGCAATCGTTTTCTAGAGCATTCATGAATTACTGGGGCCTTCTGCCTGCGATTTCCAGGTGTTTCAACCTTGGAACTGCTAAGTGGTGGCTGAATTCAGACAGCTGTTGGAGTGCCTCCAGAAGTGGTGGTGGGTGGAAAATTGAAAGAGGTGCAGAGATGAGTCAGGATGTAGAAGCCTGCCTGACAGTGATGGGCTATAAAGAAGCTCATAAACATCGTTTACCTAGCAAATAACTCCGGCGCTTTTGATTTCATGTTATCATAACCAAGTGGTTAAAGCTGAAAATAGGTAATGCATACCAAAGGCTTCTTCTCAAATGGTAAGAATGTTTACTACAACATCTCCACCACTCAATCAATGCTGGATATCTTCCAGAAGATGCACAGTGACTGCAAGCAGTGTGATTTTTGCCAGTGTACAGCTGTCAGCAGTGTCATTCCCTGCCTGTATTTGCAGGGAACTGAGTCTGAGGGCACCGCCAGCTCCAGGCCTCAAAGCCTCTGTTCTCAATGTTCTTACCTCTCCTTTCTCTTAACAATCTGCCACAAATTACTTCAAATTATGCATTACACCCTGTTTTCAAGTCCCAAGCTAAATTTAATGTACCAAATCGTGTTTTATTTGTGATGTGAGCAATGCCAGAAGCTAACAATACAGAACTTCACTAGGTTTTGTGCAACCATATTTAAATGAACTTAGACTGCGAAAGGAAGCAATACCCAGCCTTGTTTATGAACAGAATGGTTAGAATGTATAAAAGTGAGTTAGGATATGGCCATAGTGGTGGTGGCTGTATTTTTATTTCTAACATTAGAGCTGTGGTAACAAGAAATCTGCAGTATTTCATACCTCTGAAAATCCTTTTCGCTTTCTAAACTTCAAAAAGAAGAAAACAAGAAGAAACCCAGTCCGTGTATGGAGCTCTAAGGAATTAATCCTACCTTGCCAATTGCTCAGCTGAATTACAGAGGGTTTTTTCTTTATTGGATGCATTTGGTATAAAGGTGGTCAGATGTAACTGAGCTTCAGAAGCGAAGAACTGAGTGTCTTCAATAAAAATAAGTTTAACATTCTACAAAGCGCTGACCAAAGCAAAGTGGCTGAGTAGGGTAAGGAGCTTCGTTCCCTCTTGCAGCCTGACCACCCAGCTCAGCATGCAGTTCCAGGGTGCTGCATGGAAGGAATCCCCGCACTGCTCTGCTTGCTGACCGCAAAGGTCTCTGCTAGTGTAATGTTGGTGTTTGCAGAAAGCCGACAGCTGGCACCAGAGATATTTTACAGTCTCATGGGTATAAATGTTATTTCCTGCCTTCTGCATTTTTGCATTTTGGGGGGGAAGGGCTGAGGAAGGCTTTATGGTACTTACTCTTTTCTTTAACACACAGAAGGTTAGGTGTGATTTTTAATAAAGCCCTGAAGAATTTGGGCAAGCTGCACCACACCTCTGTGAGCTGCCTGCTTTGTCCCTCTGTAGCAGAGCTGGATCTTCTCTCTAGTGTACATCTATCAAACCTGCTTCTGTATAACAACTGGATTTTGCTTCCTATTGAAAGTATTTGAGACACAAACTGTAATTAAAGGATTAAAAACATGCCAAGACATTTATATTTGAATTCTTCATTAATGCTCATTCCTGCATTTCAATTTTGCTCATCAGAAGTAAATCTAAAACAAAAGTTTGCTCTGTCAGGTCTTACTGGTTAAACTAATGGCAAATGTGAGCCATTTTGGCCCCCGTGACAGTCTGCATACATCAAGTGGGTGAGAGGTGGTTAGGAAATACTTCTCCTAGAGAGTGGTCAGGCACTGGAATGGGCTACTCAGAGTGGTGGTGGAGTCACTGTCCATGGAGGTGTTCAAGAAATGGTTAGATGTTGTACTGAGCAACATGGTTTAGTGGGGAATAGTGGAGGTAGGTGGATGGTTGGACTGGATGATCTTGGAAATCTTTTCCAATCTTGGTGATTCTATGATTCTATGGTATCTCAGCATAAACAGGAGCTGAAAAGGGTAGAGTGGCTGAGGAGCTCCTGCCCTAAGAGCTGTCTGGGAGAGAGGTTTTGTGGAAGTGCTCAATGCACGCATGTGGGTCGCAGGGACACAGCTCTCCAGCCCAGAGCAGGCTCTTGCATAGAGTAGAGGGCAGGTAAGAACACTGAGGTGGGGGGGTTGTGTTACCAATGAAGAAAATGGCACTTTAGGACTCTGTCTGGATGTTTGAAGTGGAAAAAAAAAAAAAAAAAAAAAAGCAATAAGAAATAACACTTCTACGAAGTAAATGTATAAGTAACAGATGATGGTGATGCTGGTGGGGTCAGCAGACGTGGCCACCAATGGGATCTTAACAGGAAAAACTTTGTTAAAAGTTACCATATATGTGAGCAAAGTATCCTTGTTTTTATGAAGATGATAGGCATCCCACTGTGTTTTGCCTGACCATAGAAAACTGCCAGATAATGTCCCTGAGGCAATGATTAGTGAGTTGTCTAATTAGTTGATGGCTTTAGCTAGTCAGGAGACCACATTCTCCCCAGACATGACCAATCACATCATACCGACTGTCAGAATACCTGCAAGTCCCAGTGACCCAGCCCAAAGTGGAGGGCGTGGGGATGCTGAAGGGGATGGAAAGGTTCCTTGGCACTGGTTTGGGTCACTGGGGTTGCCCACGGGACACAGGCTCTTCTGTGGGCAGGGTTATGATCCAGCCTTCAGCTGAGGAATGTTGGCTGCAGAGCTCCCCAGACCAAAATAAGAAAGCATGAGATGTCACAGATAGGCTCCTACAATGTCAGTGAGTGGATATGATGTAAATGTGTTGGCCTGGGTCAGCTCAGAAACAACAGGGAGCTGTTTTTCCTAAAATGTGATTTTAGGAGGCAAGATCATCCTGAGAATGGGCACAGAGAGAAGCTGCTTATCAGAAAGAAGTTCTCCAGGGAGAGAAAAAGAAACTCACTGAGCCAGTAGGGAAAAACAAGGACAGACAATAAAAAAATAAGGAAATACTTCACCTTTTAAAACAGCATTAAATATATTGATGATGGGAAGCTGTGAACTCATTCATGAGGTGTAGCTTTTTAATCAAATGAGAGGTGCTATAATTACAGCAAAGCTACAAGGACAGAAGTACAGAAACCGTACCAGAAACCATTTTGACACAGAAAAGCACAGTTAGGTGAGCATGCACTATAAAAAAATATAAACCAAGGAAAGTCTCAAAAAGACTCTTTATTCACAGGAATGTGAATTGTTCTGCTCAGAACACAACGTCATCTCCATGTGGGACAGCACTGGGTTTGACCATTCCAGTGCCATTGCGATAGTGAGGTTGGGATGCAAGTGAAATATGGTTTGTAATTCAGCATATGCAACCATTTTCATGCCAGGGTTTATCTGCTGCCATATCCTTGGGCTAGCTTTATGCAACTGATATATGCAGCTGCTGTAGGTGCATTTCAAAGTTCTTTTAATTTTGGGACCACTGCTGATTTGTGTTTTACCATTTACCAGAATTGGAAGGGCACACCTATGGCTGTGTACAAAATGAATGGTGTAGAAAAAACAAGAGCATTCCCTTTATTGAAGAAGCCTTGCTGTCTGAATGGAGATGGCTTTTCACCTTCTAGTAACTGTTTACCAGGGCAGGACCTGAAAAAAGTCAGCTTTTCCATTCCAGAAAATGCTTTGCTACTCATTAACAATTCAGACAGCCAAATAGCTTTCTTTCCGTCAGTTAATTCACAACTTCTCTAACAAACAAATTCTTCTTCCAGTCCTCATCTCTCTCCTTATTCATGCTGGTTCCCTGGGGGTCTATCTGTACATTTATTCTGCTCTCTGCAATCCCCATCTTTGTCAAGAATTTAAGTGAGGACCGCTCTGCCGTGGTTCACTCAGGGCACAAGTCCTGAGAATCTCAACCCCACTGATTCTGCTTTGACAGAAGGGTTGCAGACATCTCTCCTAGGACAGACAGGATTCTGACAATGTATGAGCTGCATGCAGTTTAACACGTTTGAGGACTAAATGATTACTGTAAACGTAGAACCTAGAGGGAAATGGAACTGTAGGTCTGCTGACTGCCTGGACATAAGGTTCACTAACAGCTCCAGCAGCTTACAAAGGAGCTGTTTCTCTACAAGAAGAGCTCTTTGGTGTCTGATATGTGTCCTATATTAAAGGCTTATTTTGATAGAAAACGTAATTAATATGAGTAGCAAAGAACACAGATCCCTTCTGTAGTGTTTTTATATTGTGCAAAAATACAGTGTCTTATAGTTATGGTATGAGAAAGTGCCAGGTGGTGGCTCAAAGTGGTTCAGCTGTCCTGAGGGAGGGGCAGACTCCCACCAGCTGTGCAACCCCCATCTCACACACACAGAGCACTGTCCCCTGTGCAGGGACACAGGGTTTCCATCAGCATAGACCTGAGGGGTCAGTGTGGGACAGCTGTGTGCCCCTGGCCCTCATCAAACTGTTATTCTGCTCCTAGCTCCAGCCCTGCTGCCTGCCATTCAGACAATCAGCTCTTCTCCATGGCTTGTACATGACCATCAGCATGCCCTGACCTTCACCTGGAGGTTGAGAGTCTCAGAAAGTAAAACACTGAAATAATTTACACTTCTATGCTTTTTTTTTTTTTTTTCTGAAAGGCTGAGATAGGACATTACTGGGTGTTATAATCCCATAAACAAATCTTCCTCCAACGAGTTCTTCAGATTCCAATGTTAAGTCGTGGTATTGCTGTGGCTACACCACCATGGTGTTTACGTACAAGCTGTGGGAAGATTTTTCACAGAGGTACATCTGTGCTAGCAAAGCAACAAGCTAGAGGGAGAGGAGTTTGGGATTAGGATAAAATATCAAAAGTGTGATGTAAGTAAAATATGTAAGTTAAAAGCAGTTAAAAAGGCAGCGGTCCCCTTGATTTCATGCATCCATTTGGTTCCATTTGGTGGTGGAAGCAGTGAGGTGTCTGTTCCTGAAGGCGAGCTCCCGCTGCTCCCTCTGCACACAGAGCCCCTTGTGCTCTGCTGGCCCTGAGTGAACAGGAGCTGAATTATGAGCTGCACTGCTGAAGGAAGGCACCGAGGGTGGCTCAGTGAGGAGGCTGAGTGCCGCCGCAGTGCTGGGCCCACCACATCAGCCTGTGACACACTCGGGACTGCCAAGGGCTGCAGGGCAGTACCAGGACCCCCAACAGCAGTGGAATGGGGGCTCATGAGGAGTTACAGCAGATGGGAGGTGTGGGACTGGTGCTTCCCCAAGCTCGCCTGCTGCAGTTTGTACTTCAGAACCACTGCAGTATTCAGGCACCTAGGCCTGGCTTTGGAAAGCCAGCAGTGATACAGTTCCTATCTGAGGAGAAACCCCCTCTGAGAGGTGCAGTCTCCCCGCCCACATAAAGAGGGACAGGGAGCTGAGCCACACTGCCAGGCTCTGCTGTTGGCTGTGGGGCCATTCTGCCAGGCCTGGACTAAGTCTCAGACTTGGAGTCCCAGGCTCCGCACCAACCACAGGCAGTGGACTTCCAGCAGAGAAGGCTGTTCACCCTTCCTACTAAATCTGTTTCAGAAGACCAATAATACCAATTATTTTCTGGTCCAGTTCAAGCCGCAGTCCTAATGAACAACACACTGGAGGAGTTTGCCCAAGGAAGGCAGAGCCCCTGTGGCCCAGAGGGCACAGCACTGAATTTAAACCTTTAATGCCTGAAGTGAATGGAAACACTGGGATGTATGAGCATAGAGAATCACAGTATCCTTTGGGTTGGAAAGGACCCTCAAAGGTCATCTGGTCCAACTTCCAAGCAATGAACAGGAACACCGACAGCTCAATCAGGGTGCTCAGAGCCCTGTCCAGCCTGACCTTGCATTACTCCAGGAATGGGGCATCCACCTCCTCTCTGAGCAACATGTTCCACATCTCCTCCTGAGATTTTGTGACTAGTTTTGGGGTGCAGGCAAGACTCAGGAGATGCTGGGAGCACTGCTCCATATAAGTGGGCAGTTGCAGGGCTGCAGTGAGCAGGGCTGGAGCAGGAGGTTTGGTGACATGTAAATAATGGGCACATGGGGCCTCATCATCTTTGGTGTAAAGCTGTATTAAAGTTCTGCATTATATGGCTGTAGTGATTGGAGGGGACCTCTGGATACCACCCAGCCAAACCCCCTGCTGCAGCAGCTCCCTGCAGCAGTTGCACAGGAAAGCGTCTAGGTGGGCTTTGAGTATCTGCAGAGCAGGAGAGTCCACAGCCTCTGCGTGCAGCCTGCTCTGGTGCTCTGTCACCCTCATAGTAAAGAAGTTCTTCCTTGTGTTTGTAAGGAACTTCCCGCATTGTGGTTTCTGCCGTTGTCCCTTGTTCTGTCCATTTGACTCTCCTTTAGATATTCATAAGCATTGATGCGATCCCCTCTCAGCCTTCCCTCCTCCAAACTGAACAGCCCCGGAGCTCTCAGTCTTTCATATGGGAGATGCTCCAGGCCCCTCTTAATCTCTGTGACCATCTTTGTTTCCAGGCAGTAACACATCACAAGTTGACTCAGCACAAGGAACTCAGAGCAGACGTCCCGCTGCTCTTTGTAGAACGTTCCTTTATAGGAAAAGTCGGGAAGTGAGATTTGAAAGCTTCTAGCCGGGCTCAAACTCTCACGGTTATCAAACCCAGGTGTGGAAACACGCACAGATGGGCGTAACAGCCTCCTTAGCGAGGTATTTACCACGCCGCACGGCCGCTTTACAGGCACGCCGCCGGTGACACAGTGCGGGCCGTGAGGGCCGGGTACCCGCGCACAGCACCGGGGGGCGGGAGCCCCCAGCCCGTGCCAATGGCTGCCGGGGCCGGCGCCGCCCCCGCCCGGCTGCGGGTGGAACGTGCCGGCCCCGGGGGAGGGAGCGGGGCTCGGGGCCGTGAAAGCCTCATTCATCGCCGGCGGCGGAGAGGCACGGCCGGGCCCCGCCATGCGCCGCGCCCCGCTGCTGCTCCTGGCGCTGCTGCTGGGCTCGGGCCTCGCCGACAGCCCGCGGGGCAAACAGCGAGCGGCGCGGCCGCGGGAGGTGCTGGAAGCGGTGAGCGGAGCGGGGCGGCGGGCGCGGAGCCGCTCTGCTCGGCCGGCGGCCGTCCGGGCGGAGCCGCGGCGGGGGAGTGGGGGGTTGGGGAGGCTCGGGGGTCCCTCAGCCGCTCAGTTACTCGAGGGCTGGAGCGCTGAACCCACGGCCAGCTGCGAGAGGAGAAAGGAGCGGAGGGCCGCCCCCTCGCAGAAGCATCGCCGCATCGCTCCGCGTCCGCCGTCTCGGCTTCCAACCCCACCGCGGCTCCTCTGCAACCGGACACCTGAGCGCCGGGCCCGCCCCACCCCAGGGGCAGAATGGAGGAGGGGGATTTTCCGGCCCTCGGAATGCGGGACGCTGACGTGGGGCCGCCGCCGGGAGCCGCGGGGCTACCGCTCACCGCCGGCAGGAACCGCGTTCCGCTCGGACCCCCCGGGCGGCGCTGGGCAGCGCGCGGAGCACCGTTGTGCTAACCCGCCGCACAGCGCTTCGTTTTCACCGCGGGAGCGGAACGGCGTGCGGAGCCGGGCCGCCGCAGAGCGCTGAGCGGCGGTCGGGTCCCGCAGGCGGAGCGGCGCGGCTCCTGCAGGGGAGTGAGGCACCGCGCTGACAGCTGCTGCCGCGGCCCGGCCCGGCCCTGACCCCTGGCGGCCGCACGGCGCGATTCGGCCCGGCGCTGCGGCGCTTTGGCGGCTCTCCGTGCCGCGTGAAGCGGGGCTGCGGGCAAATGCGCGGAGGGAGGCTGCGGCCACGCGGCCAGGCCGTGCTGTGGGATGAGGGAAGCCTTGGCGGCGTTTTGATCCGCAAGTAATGCCTCCAACGGCGTCGGAGGTGGATGTTGTGCTACGGCAGTAGAGGCTGAACCTTCCTGTCAGTATCCCGTTACGTGTCACTGCTGTGTGACTGGTCTGACATGGGAGTGTGTATGTAGCAAAGGTGTGCCACTGAGTTCCTCCATTTCCTCCATGTGGAAAAACAGCACTCACTGGCATCCATCAGTACCTGCTGAATGTTTCTGGGGTTCAAGGGGTGGATGTGAGCACGGCGAGGTGGTGGCTGATGTGTGGCAGTGGGTCACCTCTGCTGGTGCAGGTGTTTACAAGCACAGCATGCAGGCTCTTGTTCACTGCAGGTGAAAATGCACAGCGAGTGGCGGTGCTGTGTTGAAAAGTAGCTGAGAATTTGCTTTGTCAAATGGTGTTGTGCTGCTGCCAAGCCCTCTGGCCATGCTGGTCTTGCACCTAAGTGCAAGACAAAATCAAAAGCCCCTAAATAAAGAGGTTCCCAGGCCATGGGGACAGCTGTCAGTGTGGGGCTGGCAGTGACACAAGCACTGCTTTTGGAATGGGGGGGAAAGGGATGGATGGGAATCAGGGGCAGCATAGCACCATTTCTTGCCGGTCTATTTCTTCTCCTGGAACTGTTTTCTCAGTCATCTGGAAGTAAGCCATTAGCTTACTGTGCTCTCTGTGGCCTCACCTTGAGCACTGTGTGCAGGTTTGGGCACCGCCTGCACTGATAAAACTATCAGAGTGTCCAAAGGAGGGCTACAGAGATGGGGATGGGTCTGGAGGGCGAGATGTACGAGGAGCGCTGAGGCCGCTGTGTTTGTGCAGCCCGGAGCAGAGGAGCTGAGGGGAGGCCCGATGGCGGCTGCAGCTCCTCACAGGGAGCGGAGGGGCAGCGCTGAGCTCTGCTGTGTGACAGCGACAGGGCTGAGGGAACGGCATGGAGCTGCGTCAGGGGAGGGGCGGGTGGCGCTCAGGGACAGGGGCTGCAGCGGAGGGCGGCGGGCACGGAACGGGCTGCACGGGGCAGTGGGCACGGCCCCAGGCCGGAGCTCAGGGAGCGTTTCAGACACCTGGTTTGGATTTGGGGTGGGCCTGTGTGGAGCTGGGAGCTGGACTCAATGATCCTTCTGGGTCCCTGCCTACTTTTGGGACATTCTGTGATTCTGTCACAGCGGGGTTTCTTTTGTACTTTTGTTGTTTGTTTTTTGTTGGCTGCTCAGCAAGCTCTGCCCTCTTTTTCAGTACAACGGCGTCTGCCTGCAGGGCCCCAGCGGCGTCCCTGGACGGGACGGGAACCCTGGAACCAACGGGATCCCGGGGACACCGGGAATCCCGGGGCGGGACGGGCCCAAGGGAGAAAAGGGCGAGTGCCTGCGGGAGAGCATTGAGGAGTCCTGGACGCCCAACTTCAAGCAGTGCTCGTGGAGTGCACTGAACTACGGCATAGACCTGGGGAAAATAGCGGTAAGCTGGCTCCAGCAACACCGCGGAAGCTTTAAGGTTTGGAATTGTGGCAGGGTAACATTAATGCCATGCAGCTCCTGGGATGTTTCCTGTTGCAGCCTTCTGTTGAAATGTGAGGGTGGACTCCTCAGGTTCTTTGCTTCAGGTCCATCTCAGCTGTGTTCAGCAGCGATGTGCCCACTTGTCAGTTTCTGTAGTAGCATTCCAAAAGAATGAAGGGGCTGTGGTGTCTGAGTAGGGCTAGGCCTGTGACTGCAGGGCTGAAAGGAGCCCTGTCAAGCACCTCTGTCTGCCTGGGGCAGGGAAGGTTTTCACCTCTGCAGTCATAAGAGAGATTCAGCATTCTGAAGACAGACCAGCACCCTCTTAAAACCTGAAACTATTTCTTTACTTTAAAGTTTTAATCTGGGTTTAAGTAGTTCCATTAGTCCTTTTTTATTTTTTTTAACCAAGACAAATCGTGTGAGCATTATGAAATCCAGTTGTTGTGGCATCACAGACAGAAACTATATTGTCCACTCATACAAGAACTTGAGTGCAGCTTTCAGACAGCTCATATTCCCTTACCTAAGCCCCCAGAAGGTGACACTGTTAGCAACTTACCTACAGGTATTACCCAAATAAAATTAAGAATTCTCATGATCCCCTTTCTCCATTATCAGCTATGAGGTGCAGTTTCTGATTTGCATCTTTGCATCACAGAGTATTTTTCAGACTTATTTTTTTTCCCCCAGACAGAAGGAACTAAAACATTCTGAAAGCGATTCCAGGCAGTAGGTTCAAGGTCAGAGTTTGCTACCAAAATGTTTTTGGCCCTCCTAGGAATGTACGTTCACAAAGATGCGCTCCAACAGTGCTCTCAGAGTCCTCTTCAGTGGATCGCTGCGGCTGAAGTGCCGAAGCGCCTGTTGTCAGCGCTGGTACTTCACTTTCAATGGAGCAGAATGTGCTGGGCCACTTCCCATCGAAGCCATAATATATTTAGATCAAGGCAGTCCAGAGCTGAATTCTACTATCAACATACACCGAACCTCCTCAGGTATGTGTGCCAAGGCTGCATGAACAGAATGGGTGAGAGGCTGGTAGCAGACCCAGGTACTGAATGCACAGTGCATGTCTGCTGTAGGAAGCCAAAGGACGCCAAGAAGAGGCAGAAGAGTGGCCTGTTAACACCAGCTTCTCTTACTCTGCTTGTCACAACTGACTATAAAGAGTAACAGTATTAGAATTATTTATTAATCAGTACTTTTAAACTGTCTTATTTTTCATGGTGCTTACTTTAGAAATGCTGATACTTTCTGCTGGTTGATACACTCTGAGAAGTATTTATAAAACCAAGTGTTGCATTACTTTAGCAGGCTTATGGTTACGAATACTTTCCATCATCACATCAGTGGTTTAAGCTGCATTTTGCTCTCAGAAATAGCCAAGGTATTGTGAAGCAAGTGCCCAGCTGCAAAAAGCCGTTTTACTCCCTATAGTGTATAATGACTGCATAAAATCTAATTTTTTAGAATTTTCTTTCTCCAAAAAATGTTATTTAGAGGTAATTACACAGCAAAGGCTTGCAATGAACTTTTGTGAAGTACTTGTGTCCAGAAGTGTTTGTGTCTGCCGTGGTGACGTGGTATCTGTGTCTCACCAGTGGAAGGTCTGTGTGAAGGGATCAACGCCGGCTTGGTGGACGTGGCCATTTGGGTCGGGACTTGCTCTGACTACCCCAGGGGAGATGCTTCTACTGGATGGAATTCAGTCTCCCGTATCATCATTGAAGAACTGCCGAAATAAGTCTCCCTCCCTTTTTATAATCCCTATTTTTATTTTGTACAATTTTCTACAAAAATTATTTAGAGTTGGATGCAGGTTTTTGTCTAAAAGGCACCAAACTCTGCACCTGTAGTGTTTGTCTAACCTTCTTTTTTTGCATATTGCAGAGGCTTTTAATAATAATCATTTTAGAATATAAGAACCAACTTCATTAATGTTTCATATCCCTTTTTGATATATGAAGATATACCACCACAGTTTTTAAGAGTTAAGTGTAATTTTTTTGTATCAAATAAAGAAGACTTTTCCATAAAAATAACATCCAAGGTATTTTATTGGTCAGCAAACTTTAAGGTATTTGACACGGCACTGTGGTACACACTTGTTTTTCAAGACTTCAGAGTTGTACATAAGTACAGGTCTTGGCGTTAGTTTTTGAAATGTATACACATAACATCTGCTCCTGTGAAAGAATGTGGAAATGGATACTCTGCTGTTAAAGTCTTATGTCTCCCAGCAACCTCCTGTGACTTAACTGGCACCTTGCTGACGATCGGTAAGTGTTAAATATGTTCTGAACAACTAAGTAAAACCAGACTATCCAAGCTTTACTTCCCTCCTGCACTTGAGAGACCAGATTTCAGTGCAAACATCTATTAATCATCTATGAAAAAAAGAGTATTTTTACAGTTCCAAAACTCAGGTTTCGTTTCCCCAACAAATAGTTCTCCTGAGTTTAGCCTGTCAGATATACACAATCACTTTGGTGTGAAAGCTGGATATGTGAAGTGGTTTGGAAGCTACAGAGGAAAGCCAAGGCATTTCAGCCTGCCTTACTTAAAGTGGACTGCTCAGCTGAAAGAATGATGTTGCAGATATTTGACTGCAGCCTCCAAAGTGGAGAAGAAATGAGGAGTGGCAGCACTGACCATGGTGTGCCTTGGAGTTAGTGCAGCATTAGCAGCAGTGCTTTAAGGATTCTCTTCCCAACACAGTAAGTGATAAACCATCAAAAAGTGCAGATTCTAAAGGGAAAATATAATCGTGTTTACATTACAAAATAAATTTCACATAAATGCAATAAGAAAAACAAAAAGCATGTATAACATGCAGAAATATACCTTGTCCAGAAATTAAATGGAAAAGCATTAAATCTGAGAGATGGATTTATTTTAGCTATTTGATACTAAATCCTAGCTTTTCTTCTAAACAGGTTATAAAACTTTCCCCAGCCATGTCTTAAATTGCTAGTTCATCTGCACCTTTAAAAGAGGAACACACCTGCAGGTAAGAGAGCATTCAGGTTTTCCTCACTGTGAGCTTACGTGTGATATGTGTGATGCTGCTGCAGGCCAGCACCTTGCTCAGCAGCTCTTTGTCTCTGGAGAACTGTTACTGTTTCATTGGTTGGGAAGATAGTATGAGCTAAGCCATGGTGTGAATTTACTGCACGTTAGTCAGCAGTCAGTAGCCAACTGTGTATGTCCTAGTGACCTGTCTTTATGCTTACCCTGCATCTCAAGTCCTGTTCAGGTCTGGAACACACTACTCCAGGGAAGTAAGTGCATGGCTTCTTTTATTACTTTTTTATGGTTTATTCACTATATATTTTGGACCCTGCATACTAGAAAACACAGAAACCCATATAAAGGCTTTCCAAAGGCAAAAGAAAGTAGTAGCTATTAAGACTTTGTTAATTTGCACAGTAAACTTCTGGTAAATTTTGATTTTCATCTAAATGTCAACGGAAGCTTTAATAATAATAATAATAATTAAAAAAAAGCCAGTCAGCTTTCTCAGATGAGATAACAATGTATGATCAACTGTAACAGCAGAGAGGATGGGACTGGGGAAGAGGAGATGTGTTACTAAAAAACAAACAAACAAAACAAACACCCAAAGAATGGCAATAATATCAACAGAAACAAGCAACCAGGTTGCTGAACTGAGATTCAAAATACCAAGCAGGTTTGGGAGACTTTCAAATTTAACTAGAGTTAAACCAACTCTTTTTAATTAAAAAAAAAAAGTCTCCTTTCTGCTCTGTTAGTTTTCTGTAAAACAACTTTTCTAAGTGGTTATTGAGATTTTTTTAGCTAGATGAAAATGTTCTCTGCTTCATATAAAACTCATTATTCCCCCTCAACTATTGAAAATGTTTCCTACCTTCTTCTCAGTTGATAATATCTGATACTCCTTCATGCTCACAGTAGAAGGCAAATGTTATGCTCAGTAAATTATTTCCTCAATAATGAACTACAACAGATAAACCAAGTCTCCAAAAAACACCTCTGTCAGCAATTACTGGAATAAAAATAAACATTATTATTCAACCATGCTGAAACATACTGCAATTCAGCTTACTGTTGTATAGCAATAGTCTTAGTCACTTCTGAGACTAAATCAGAAGATGGTTTTTTAAGAAAGCCCTATGCACGAAGTTTTTAGAAAACCTATAGATTTTTTTTTTTTTTCCAAAGACCAGTCTTTGTTAAAGTTGCTTTAAAACTGCATCGCTAGTGAATTATTTGGATTATTATTATTTTTTTTTAAGTAAGCCTCCTTTCAAATAAGGAGCATTTAGTCAGATGTACCAGTCCTGGAGCTGTGGCTGAGGAGGGTGGGGCGATGAGAAATCAAATGAACTAAGTTGCCAACAATGTGCACAACAGACTTTGGTCTGGTGTTAAAAACAAGCCAAAAACCACACTGCAACTCTGTCTTGGTATGAGACAAGAAGTGGATTTCAATTTGCAATTACTGCAAACCAGGAATGGACGGCTGACCATTTTACAAAGCAATCTGAGTTTCCAAATTGCACCCCACTGAGGCTGCATTTTTTGTGTCGGATGACCGATGGAACATGGAGCACTCCATAACCTAAAATCTCACAAGTAACAGAAATGGATTCTGTAGACACTGTTGTAAAGCAGTTACATACAAATTTTCTTCATGAGACTCAGATAAAGACTTAAGAGAGTTCAGATGCTTCAGACGCAGGAATTGCTTTTATATGAAGTTTTCTGTAGTGCAATCTGACCAATTGTTATCTTGAGACCTGTCAAGCAGATTAGTCCATTATTCCAGGCAGGCCAGGATGAGGTGAAATGCTGCACATCTGCCTTCAGCCAGGCACAGTGCTACTTCACAGTTGCAGACATCTGTTTTGAGCAGACGCTGCTGATTCAGAGGGAGAGGAATGCAGCAACACAGGCACCCTCAGCAGAGGGGATGTAGGCAGGGTTTCACTATCTCACAATTCTTTCCTCAAAATACCAGATCAATTCACAGTGTCAAAATAAGCTGAATTAATTATCTTCCAGATCATAAATATAAAAAAATAAAGATATATTGATATATTTTTTTATGAATAGAAACTTTTACCTTTAGTTATTTTCTTTTCTAAAACCAAGTAGAAAACCTGACACATTTTCATAAACTACGAAGGTAATGCAGCACGCAGGAGTCACTCTGATCACATTGGGGACAATTCCTTTGTAAAATCCATGGATTCCTTCTTTCCTTTATAGACAGAAAAAAGCATTTACTTTAATATATTTTAAATAAAAATCAGACATAAAACAAAGCCTGGTGTTTTTCTCTCGCTCTCTCACTGAGGGAGATGTACTTCAGGGTAAGAATAACAATTTCAGAACAGTTTCTTATGAAGTGCTTAAAGGATCATTATATCAAATCTCACTTTTCTGAACATAAAGTAATATTCTGTAGATGAGTTGTTCAGCTTAGGGTTTGGGTGGTGATTCTATTGTTGTTTTGTCTTTTTTAAAATGAATTCTTTTGATAAGATGCTACACTATCTTTCTTCATACCACAAGAAGTGGTTAAAATAACTTCAAATTTCTGCAGTTCCAAAAAAAATTTGCAGATTTAAGCTCCCTGAAGCCAACAGGGCTGAAGGGCTTTATGGTTTTGAGTCATTTAACAGCAAGGGAGCTGAGGGAGAACACAACTAAGTTAAGTCAGCTGCTGAAGTCAGCACTCATTTTTAGAGAAATAAAGCACCTCCTCCAGCATTTTGAATCCACTGGCCAGTACATGAGAATTCAGCTTCTCCCAGTTTGAACCACAGTATTCACTGTTAGGGATGTTAGAGTGTTTCAAAGACTTCAGCTCACTTTTTTCCAGTTTCATAGGGCTCTGATACATCCAGAATGATGAGCAGTCAAAGGAGATCCTGGAAAATGCTTGGGTATGCAAGATACTGCTCTCCTTGGTGACCTAGGCTGCGTTTGTTGATTTCATAATGAGTTAACGAGACTTAACTACTTTACAAAGCACAAAGCAGCCAACTCAGTGTTGGTTTTTTAACCTTGCCACTCTGTAAGCAAAATTTGTTGGGGAAGATGATGAAGAGGCAGATCAAAAAACAGAAGTCTGCAAGCCAGCACTGACCATCACATACCTCTTCATTTTTAGTTAATAGCTGTTAGTAGCATATTCCACATAATGGCTTCATAGAGATAGCCATTCAGCATGGAAGGCAGTAAGCATGGTGATTCTGAAGGCTCACTTTTCCAGGTGCAAACTTACAGTTCTGTATGCCTACCTCCATGTCCTGCGGATCACATCTAACACACCAGAGTATCTATTGTGCTGATCTTGAAGACGAGCCCGTACAACTTGATAGGGATACGTTGCTGTTACAGCAAATATTTTGGATACAGCTGCCATCGTTATGTATTCTGCAGTGTTCTAAAACCAACAAAAATGAACAAGCTTTCCTTAACCAGGGCTTAAAATAGACAATTTTCCAAAATCATCTTTGATTTTTAAATATATTAACTAAACAATACTTTTTTCCCCTTTACAATAAACTTATTTAAGAAATTGACAATATTTACTGTCTAGAATGCTCAGGTAACCAATTGTAAAATATACATTTTGCCTTCTCACTCCTACCAAGCAAAACACTTCTAGAAAAGTGTGTCAGGTGTTCCAAAAGCAGCAGTGTCTTCACTGAGTTTGCTCCTATCTAGTCCTATGGGCAACTGTTTAAAGACTACCTACGATTGGTGTTCAGAAACCATTCTTCTCCCTAAAATTCTCCAGACACTTGCCAAAATAAGGTGATTTCTCTAGACAAATACAGAACTAACCTGTTGCTTGTTCCCAAAGTGACAAATCATCATTTTCATATATTCCACATTTCAATTAATATATCGATACTTTATAAACTTGACTGTTCTATGATCTAACTGACTGGAATAAATCTCTACCTGTTCCCATGCCACAACATATTTTATTATTAATAATTTTACCAATTTTGTATCTGACACTCTGTTTCTGTACTTGTTGTAT